GGGTGGGGGTATTTGAATGAGACCCCTGAACTCTCGCCCCGGTCGCTGGGTCGACGGGTCGATTTTCATTCTTCCAGGGGGTCGTCACCCACCTTGATGGTTGAAGTATAGTCAAGATTTTACATTGCGCTGAGGAGACTTTGCTTGTCAATCATCTTACTGGGTGGGCTATCGGCTATCCTCAGGACTGAAGATCTGACCTGACCTCCTGCAAAAGAACCAGTGTCATTTGATGGGGAAACACCCTGTCAATCTATGCATCTTGCATGCTCCATTCTCACGCCACCCGGACCCGAACCTGCATGCACACGCGCCCCGTTGCTTCCACCTTCGCCGAGTCCGTCACCCGTTGCTCCCAGGAAGCGCGCTTGGTGGCTCCCACGTCGCTGGAGCCTGAGAAGGAACCACGCCGCTCCCCCCTGGTTCGCCTGCGGCGCCTGTGGCGTCTTTCCTCGCGCGCTTTCCTCGCGGCGTCGCCGAGGATTCCGTCGGGGCCGGTGGATGAGGGACAGCTCCTTCGAGCTGCTAAGGAGAGGGAAAAGAGGGAGGAGGTATCTTGATGGATGATGTTGGGTGAGATTTGGTGAGATTGCATTTTTGTGCGGTATTTCTCTCTATCTAGTTGGAGAGTCTAGTCTAGTCATTTAGTCATAGTGAGCCTCTACATTGCAAAAGCGAATATTCTTTGCAGTGTTTTGAAAGCATGATTCCTACTTGTAGCTACTTGGGACGCCCAAAGGAAGGACTTGCACTCATGCCAGTTGAGATAGAAAAAGCAGACGAGCAAAGGACGATTCTGCCAGCTTTTGCCCTTGCAGGCTGCTACCGCAGAGGTCATCGAGGAATGTTTATTTGGCCCGCGGGAAGTGCAGGCGCAGTCCAATGATGCAGCTTCGAGTGAAATCAGAGCAGATGAGCCTGCTCTTGAGGCAGAGTATCAGAAATATGCGTACTTATTTCAAGAAGAGGTTAGCGCCCCAGCTCTCGGACATTTGTTAACGAGTGACAGGCAACTCTTCAGCATGCAACGGCATATTATATATATATAGGTTGTATACATATATTCACCGCAGATTAACATGCACCCCCAAAACCACTGGGTTCTAGAGGACAATTCGTCATCTACCACTACAATTCTCAGGTATTCCATGGGATCGTTTGCAGGAGGGTACATCTTCGAACGGACGTGTACCGTTTCCTTGTTGCAGTGAAGCATTGGCAACCTCATTCTCAGGTTGGAGCCGACCTGGATCCACTGGATGTGGAGACGGTGCGAGCGGGGACGCCAAAGATTGGGTCTATCTATCGGTTTTCGGGCTCGAACGAAGGACATGGGAAGATGGGAGGACGAAGGAATAAATGGAAGTATATAGTATATATATATATATAGATTATTCTTTTCGTTTTCCCAATAGTTCTAATTGCCTATTAGGGGTTCCTTGTTCTTTATTCAAAGTGATTTTTTCCCTAGGTTTCATCTACTTGAGAAACCCTGAGGCCCCGTTGAAAGGAGTTTTCGAAGGAGTGAAATGCCTTACTTCATTTCACTTGAGCAAGCTGCTTACGACCGCTTTATTCGGAGAAGACGTCTCAGTAAGGTCCGGACGGATGCCTACTTACAGGCGACATTGGCTTTTGCACAGCGACATTGGCTTTGCAGTGCTCTCACAGTGTTCGAACAGTGTTCGAAGAGTTTTTGGGCTAGGCTGGCACAGAGATTGAGAAGCTCACCACAGAGATCGTGAAGTGCGCTGATCAGTTCTCATCTAACAAGACAAGTGTTTCATGATGTTTCATGGTTCACTTTGCCAACAACCCACCCTTGTTGTTCCTTTTTGGCGGCGATGTCGCAGCCCAAGTGACCGCGTGACCGGCTTCTCCGCTCTCCGCCGGCAACGGATGAGGCGTCGTTTCGGTGACCCCCCGGATCGAAGGCCGATTCGACTCGTCGAGGTTTCCTCTCTTTGAGCTCCATTGCCTGGACACCGACCGCTCGGGGGGTGCTGTTGTGCAGATGAGTCGTTTGTGGATGCTTCGTTCGAGGTTTAGGCGGAGAAAAGCCCAAGCAAGGCATTCTAGGGACACAGCGGGCCAAAAAAGGTGCAATTGGTGGGGTGTGGCTTTCCCTGTGAAACAGGATTGCAACCAGCCTCTGAGATGGGCCAGGACATCATCCAACACATGTCACAGCGGGCCTACCACCTGGCTGCGTGCTGCTTGGAAACCGTCGCACAAAGCATCCAGGCGCCGGGCGGGCCGGGCGGAGTGACTTCTTCGTTCCGTTCCATCGGGCCATCGGGAACACTTCACGACATGAGTGGTAGGGGGGGTGGCTGAGTGTCCGGAAAAAACACGGTAAAAACTAGGAAAACGAGAACCAACTACTAAAGCTATATAAAGCCAATCACCCCAAGAAGGCGACTTTGTGAGTGAACGCCTGAGGGGGGTCGGAGACTCGTAGATATGACGTATGACTGTTGTGGCATTGAACCGCAGGACCGCTCTCAAGAAGTTCTGAATCGGTGGCAGCTTGCTTAGACTTCGCAGTGTAGTACTGGAAAGACCGAAGGACGGAAGTACTTTAGATCCCAAACGGAAGTGAACATCACAAACATCACACGCACACACCATTGCAATGCATGCTGGATTATCCTGATCATCCTGTGAGTGTGATTTGTAGAGATTGATCATGATTTCCTATAGACTCGTACTGGACTCGTACCCATGAGAAACAAGTAGCACTGATCCCCGATGGCAGACCGAACACGGATTTTTCATCAGGCAAGAGACACACGAGCGGATCCTCTCCAACCCCGAAGACGAAGAGGACTCGCCTTCCGGATGGGAAAACCCCCAAAAAGCCGGGCTTTCCACAGCTGGTTGGGAGAACCACCCAGCTTTCCGCTTTCAGCTTTTGGGGAAACCACCCGGTCCCCGGGGCAGTTCCGCTCCGAAAGGACTTGGCGGACCTCAAGCAGTTCGTGGCGGACCTGCCCCAGCAGGTGACGAAGTCCGTGCCCGAATTGAGTGGTCGTGGCCGGGGCAGATGGGCAGAGTGGCAGACTGTTGGACGTGGGGAAGCAAGTTGGGGATGTAAAAAGGATTGATGGAGTTCCAAGAGAATGAGGGGCAGATGGGGCACTGACGATGCAGATGTTGCTTTGCTTTGCATTTGTTTGCCTTCCTGAATGGCGCTACGGCGCCGCTACTGCTACTTGTGCAGTGCCACATCAGTCACTGAAGTGGAGCACCGCATCAGTCATCTCAGTTGAGGCCGTTGATGCAAACAACTCGGCACATTCACACCCAGATCAACATGCTGCTTGGCTCAAGGGATATTGTTGATCCTGCCGGCCTTTGTGGATTTAGGTTCTGATTCGTAGACCAACAGCTATATATGTATATATCGTACCTGCTTTCCTAGTGGTTAGATTCTTGAATGACCCTGTTGCTGCTCACTCTGGTTTTCCACGGGAAGCGCTCGTATTGGAGCCGCGAAGTGTTAGGGGTGTCGAATCTACTTGAAAGCAACAGTATGTGACATTTATACATGAGCTATGAGGGAAATTTATACACTAGTACTAGTGTTCTTCTTTTTTTTTAACGTAGGGGAGAATAGAACAAAGGAGCCACAAAAGGAGCTACGCATGATCTTCACCAGCACTTGAGGCTGGCAGACTTCAGCTTCTTCATTGACCATGAGGCTGGGATGCCACCTCCCAGGGCCGAGCTCCCGACGCCCGACGTCCATCAAGGATCGGTTTCGCCATGGTTTGGGGCAGGGCGTCCCTACTTCTGGTCATTTGCGGGGGCTTAACCATGCTTGTGAGGTCAACCGTCATGATTCTTGGAAGAACCATGGCATCCGGCTTGTGAAGTTGCTTCAACTCACTTCTTCGAATTGGCTCCAGCAAAAAGGTTTGTCTTGCGACGTGTCTACGTCGTGTCCTTTTTGACGGAGGATCCATTTGCATGGAGAAGCCCATCTTTACTGACTCCGGGACGCCCCGTGAGATCCTGCTCGTCAGCAAGAAGCAGGTGGACGTACATGCGTTGCGAGAGTTGCGCGAGCTTCCCCAGGCGCGGCGCGAGGCCAAGACGAAGGAGATCCGGATCGGTGCGGAGGTGTTGAAGCAGAAAGGGAGATTTCCCACGAGGCGGCGCTGCCAGGATTTTCCCTGTGCGATCCTCTTCCTAGCGACACTTTTTGCATGGCTTGGCTTCAGCATTTTGTGCGTGAAGGGAGTAGCCAGTGCTGAGAATGATGACGCCGATTTCCAAGACGGCGCAACTGTGGATCACCAAGCTGGACCCATCAGACATGGTTGGGGTCTCATTCAATGGGCCATGACCATCCACTTGCCAGGCTTTCTTGGAAGCATGGGCGCTGTGATCACGGCCTTTGGCCTTCTGTTTGCCATCCGAATCTACCCTCGTCCAGTGATCTATGCTTTGCTCCTCTTAATCCCCATCCTATGTGCTGTTGGGCTCATCGGTATCGTCATCCAGATGCGAAGACATGAGGCACAGTGGTACGTGGCCCAGTTCGCAGCAGGGTGTCTTCTGTTGTTCGGATTTGTTTACGGTCTTTGTACATGGTGCTGCTGGTACAAATGCATAGATTTTACGGCTCAGATCTTTGAGATGGTGGCAGACAGCTCCTATGAGTATCCACGGATGATCCTCGTATCCGTTTTGGGTGCTCTGTTAGTTCTGATCTGGTGTTTTCTTGTGTCTGTGGCGTTTACACTCGCGAGCTTAAAGCACGAGAAAGATTACGCAGATCAAAACAAGAACTTGACATTTTCCGTCGGCATTGCTTTTAGTGCGCTGCTTGTGCTAGGAAGCAGTGTCATCAATTTACTCTGTCACACGACCTACTGCGGCATTTTCAGCCGATGGTACTTCTCTCAAGATGGATTGTTGCTGGTAGATAGTCTGCGTGACGCTGCGACGACGTCTTTTGGTAGCATCTGCTTTGGAGCCTTCGCTGCAGCCCCCCATGAAACTGCTGCTCTATGTGCTGAGGTCAGCTCACTGGTCAGCAGATCAGGCAAACTCAACCAGCCGTGCCGTGGCCTGCGTTCTGCAATTGTTGATCAGCTGCACCGGAGATTTGGTCGAGTACTTCGACGAATGGGCACTCGTGCAGTGTGCGATACGCGGCACATGCTTCTGTGAGTCCGCCAAAGCCACCTATGCCTTGATTCTTTGCAACGGCCTTGGTGCAGCAGTCCTAGGTGATTTGCTCTTGAATTCGCTGTCAACTCTTGGATGCCTCTTCTGCGGCATGATCGGCTGCGGTCTGGGGGCGCTCATGAACTCCGCCCTGCACCCCGCCGCCGCAACCCCCGTGTGGATCTCGAGTCTTGTGGGCGGCGTCCTCGCGGGCGGCACCGTGCTGCGGCTCTACAGCAGTGGAAGCCAGGCGATGATCCTCTGCTGGGCGGAGAAGTCAACGCCACTGCACGAAAGCCATGGATTTGAGGATATCCATACGGAGCTTCAGGCGAAGATTCGAGAATCGGAAACGTCTTGAGCAGAAACGTCTTGCGCAGCGATGGATGGGTGGACTGGAGACATCATGCCATGAGTGACAAAACATCTGAATAGAGGATGGAGTTTCTTGCTCGGGCCGGTCTTTTGCGAAGCCTGGCTCAAATTTGCTTTGAAATCGGGAGGCTTCTTTGACTTGAAGCTCTAAAGTTGAGCTTTCTTTCTGACCAAGTTACTCTGCTGTGTTAAACATTGTTTTCTGTGTGAGCTCTCATTGAGTTCTTCTGCAAACACACTCGGCCAATGATTCCATTCTACGAGATGCGTCAACACAAGCTATGTGAGAATCATCACGAACTTCCTGCCAAAGATTGGGAAGATGCCGTTGTTGGTTTGAACCAAACAAGCCAGCGAGAAGATGGAGACTGCTTTCTGGCTCCTGCAGTGCGAAAGCGTTCTCGGCAGGGCCAAAGTATTTCAAGCAGTACTCTCATTTTCCAGAAGCTTGGGAAATGGACGGTGCCAGTGCAATTGTTCTGGCAGACGTCATAGATGTATCCTTATCGCTTGCACAAAACTGTGTCGCAACATTTGCAGGTTGTGACAACTTCCAGTTGCTATCCCCCCCAAACAGATGGCCAACCACACGATGTGAGGGCTTCCTAGATGCTTATCACCTGGAAGTGGGGAGTCTTGAAAGAGGTGAAAGTACCAAGGTCGAGTGAACAAGTTGGAGTTCCACCGTCCGTCCATCCGTTCGTTTGTTCTTCCACCGGCTGTTGCTGGTTCCTTCGTGCTTATGATACCGCACGTGCTTCCCTCGTCAGGTAGTGGAGCGAGCCTTTTCCTCCTTCGCATGGCCACTGCAGATTCAGATCGACGTGGGTGATTCGGCCGGCGGTCCCCAGTGGGGGGGGACTGGTGGTGCAACAGATCTATTGGAAGTGTTTTTGCTCTTTTTTTTTCCAGTTGGATGACATAGCAGTAAGCCAGGGGAGATTGACATTGATGGTTTTCCTTGTTTTGCGGAGAACTGCCTGATTCCGCCGCTGTTGGGTCTGGGCCACTGGGTGTTTGTCTTTCACCTACACCCATGTCCATGTTTCCAGTCGAAGAAACGACGGACCCCGCCTTGACCAGAACAACTTGACCAAACTACCAAGACACACAGGTAGAAATATTGCAAAGCGCTACAGTTTTTTCATGATTGTTGTCTACTTTCCAGGTTTGCAACAAGTACTCGTTGAGTATAATAAGATAAGATAGTACACGTATAAGCATATTGTTGGTGATGTCTTGAATGTCGGACGACTCCAACTCCTGAGGAGAGAAGTCTGGACTCGCAGAAGCAGAAGTTCATGGAAAAGTTGGACCGCGAAAAGACGGAGTATCTGGTCGCAAAGTTTTCAGGTTCTAGATATTTGACACAGGGCGCTCCACTTATTCCATTTTATTCAATTTTATTCTTAACCTCTGATGTGAGATACTGGGCCGGAGCCTTCTCCTGCGTCGGACACTGCCAGATGTTCTGATCAAACATCTGCCGAAGGTATGAACGTGATATGGCCCGATATCAAGAAGACTTGGAGTGGGTCAAGAGCTTGTGCCTGGGACGGCATGTTCTTTGGAAACTTCTTGACATCACTGACACTTGGTCTTGTCTGTGTCCGCTCGTGGATCGATCCCAAAGGAACGACTACTCGCTGGCCATGAAGTGTGCACATCGAATCTATTCGCTGCGGGACGGGGTTTGCTGTTTTCGTTTCTGGTTTTCCGTACCGTGCTATTTCGTTTTTTTTTCAGAGCAACAGGAAGGTCATCTTCCTGAGATCCTACGGCACTTCTGGGATTGTCTCCAAAATGGGAAGACCACCAGGGGCGCGCGAGCAAGAGCTCAAGTTGGCACCCCGCGGGGGGGACTTTTCGAGACGGACCTACAATATGATAGTTACCCGTTGTCTGGCAAAGGTCCCAACCACCCAACATCCACTAACCAGCTTAGCAAGCAGAATCCCAGCATGTTCCCAGCCACCGTCCCTGATCCCCCTTTTGACCCTTCACCCATTCGTGGACAGCGCGAGAGACCCGCCCCGCCGAGACCAGTCGTGTCAGGAGAACCTGGACCGTGCCAAAGAGCGGGTCCAGAGCTTCTTGGACCGCGAGAGGCTCTTCGGCCCGGGAACCTGAGAGCCCGGCCGAGCCCGGCTCCCTCTTTGGGACGCCCAGACCCGTTCCTTTGGCTCGCGGCTCGCTGGCTAAGGCATGGATGTGTCGGATTACTCCGTGGTGGAGAACACCAGCGAGGCGGGACTGGGCCATATAAAAACGGCCAGGGACTATGATTAGGTAATAGTTAATTAGATTATCTTGGGTGATTCTATCTAATTAGATCCACTTGTTTGGTGATTCTACCTACCTAATTGGATCCTTTTCTTGGGTTCTACATACAGCCTGCCTTTGGGTTTGGAGATTGGATTGGAAAGGCTTTCGAGCCCTACTACAAGCTTTGGACCAGCGCTATTGACTTCAAGCACTCCGAGGCACTGAATACATGAGCACGGGACATGAGCAGAAGGGACAGTTTTTTCATGGCTTTTGGTGCCAATTCTGTATAGCTTTCCTTTGGATCATTAGCTGAGAAGCACCCGAGAGTGAGCTCAGAAGAGTCAGCACCACGTTCTGATCAGCACCACTTTCTCAGACGTGAAAGTGTGAAAATTGTCAGGAAGAATGGCTGACTGGCATGGTACAACGATTGGTGGCAGAAGAAATTGAGTCTGTGGTCGAAGATCAGCCAAATCCTCAGGATTTGAAGCAGCTCTTTTGTTGGCTGCACTCTGGATACCTTGGCTGCTGAAATTCTGTTCTTAGCCGCTAAGACACATTTTCTCACGAGGAAGTCCCTCATGATCGGCCTGCTTTTCCTGCATCTGGTGTCGATTCTTGTTTGCTGACTGCCAAGGTACAAGGAAAGCTACAAGACGATCAAACAGTTTGAGGGTATCGAAAATCCACTGGCTGTGGCAAAGGACCCTTGAGCAAGACCCTGTGTTTCTTGTGAAACAGCTGACAGGTTTGTCAGGACACGCCTCAAGACTCGCAAGAAACATGCTTTTTGCCAGGATTTGCGAGAGGAAATCTCCAACTTCCGTGCCAACATGTGAGCCTGGCCAGGATTGTCACCGCGCAAGACTGCTCTTCTCATCTCTTCTCCCCATCGTGGGCTGCTCAAACGATGCAGCCGAGCACAACCCAAACAATGTCGCTGATCATCCGCCAGGTGGTTTGCCTAGCATGCCTAGCTACTGTGAAGGGGAAATTGCCGCAGTTGTTTGTACCAAGGGAGACGCCTGAATTGAAGTGAATGCGTTGGTAATTTTGCTTCATTTGACCATTCGGCTCGACAGTTGCCAGGCCTGTCATCCGTGCCCTGTGTCAAGAGGCTTTTGTCCCGGTTCGTTCAGCTCTGAAGTGAAGCCATCAGCCATTTGTTTGTTGTTTGCCATGCTGGCTTTCGTGTCGTTACGGGCCGTAATTTGATTCATGTTCTCTACCGCAAAAAAAACATGAATCAGCCATCCAAGGGGGTTCCTTAGACGGCCTTCACCTTTCGTTGCATCAAGCAGGTCCGTCCGATGCAGGTCCTTGTTCCTCCGCCGTTCGAAGCTTCCACGCCGTTCGAACCTCCTCCGTTGGCCGCTTTGGCAGGCCTTCGAACCGCGGCACTTCGCGGATCTCTTCGAGGAGTTGCGCCTGGATATGGACATGGAGGAGACCTGGGGAAAGAAGGGGGGGGAGGGGACAGTCACTGCTGAAAACCAAGGCAAAGTGGTGTTGTTTTGCTTGGTGCACCTTGTATATGGTAGCGCGGGTCGTTCCACCTGGAGCTCCTTTCACCGTAGGTTGACCTCTTGTAGGCCGTTGATTCTGTTGATGTCAACCAGGGTTCACCGGTTGAAAGACCCACAGCCATATATACAGACTTTGACATTGCTTCCTAGTGGTCCTAGTGGTCATAGTGGTTATACCTTTGAATTCTGGCATGGCATGTGCCTGATGGAACAACACAGGATGTCATGAAAAATGTTTGACAAATCTGTGCAGTGGACTGTGGACCCTTGACGTTTGGAGTATTCTTTAAGAGATTCAAACAATCTCAGCCCCTCCTACTGGTCCCAATCTTTGCCTATCCACAGATCGACGCAAGAGGCGGCACCCTTTTTCAACCCCGAACACGCCGGAGACGCTGACCACCGTTAACTGCCGAAGCCTTTCCTTTCTTCCTTTCAGGATGGCATCACCTTGCAGCAGATGTTGGAAGTCGGTATCCTGGAGCATATCGACATCTTAGAGCGGATCAGCGTCAAGGCCTGTGCTTCGCTCCGCAACGGCGGCCAAAACCCCGAGCGGGGCGGAACGGCGGTCGATGCCGGAAGTGGCACAGGCGCAGAAGGAGCATGGCTTGAAGACCGCTTTGGCACTGATGAAGAAGGAGTTTGGAGCCTAAGAAGTCGAAATGATGGGTGTGAAATCATGTAACCATGCGTAAAGGCCGGGCAAAGGTGATTGATTTACTAAGAGGAATCTGTGAACAAGTAAGCAGTAGTGGTGCAAGGCAGTGCAAGGCTTAAAATGCCCAGCTTTTCGGCCCGATCGGCCACGTCTGAGAGGTGGTTCGGAACTCAGGTGGAGGCCCATTGAATTTGGCCTGGTGCCCCACAGATCGGGAACTCATATGGTGAAGGGCATCGATGAGATCCAGGCTGAGACGACACGTCGATGGAAGTTTGTAGATGTCGAACTAGGGTTCTTCGACCTCTGTTGGATGTGTGGAGGGCCGCTTTGGATTTTGGGTGACGAAGTCATGAAGACGTCCTTGGCTGCGCGACGTCCCTCGAGGCTGTGCTGGATGACCACATCGTCAAGACCATGGGCATTCGCGGCTCTCCTTTTGTCCGAAGCTTCGAAGCTGGTGCTTTTAGCTCTACTCTGCAATGTGAGTCAAGCGGACCATGCGAATGCCTGTGTGTCTTTTCAGGTCGAACCAATTGAAAAGGAGGTCAAGGACACGTGAGTTGAGCAGATCGATGTGTGTGTTGAGAGGTTCGAATCAAAATAAAAAGCCATCCGAAGAGGCTCATGTGGTCTCATCGAACTGACGGATCTCGGCATGCCCAGCTGCAGCCTGGTCGTCTTCACAAGTTCCGCGAGGACTGGCTGGCCAAGCTCACCCTGATCCAAGACCTACTGGAACAATGGATCGTCATGCAGCGCTCGTGGCTCTACTTGGAGCCACTCGGCATCACGTCGTCGTCGAGCGCACCATTTCGGTGCATGCGATCAGTCGCGGGGATGATCGTTCCATGTGTTGTCTCTGTGGGAACGAGGCCCATCTTCAGCTCTGATGACATCAAGAAGCAGCTGGTGAAAGAGACCAAAGGGTTTGAGCAGGCCAGAGTCTGACCAGAGTCAGACATGCGGAAAGTTGATGCAGCAGAAGTTGGAACACTTTCTGTTCTGAGTCTTGAAGTGAATCCCTCTCTGCAGCCTTTCTCGAAGATTTTGTGAGGTTGACATGCTTCGGCGGAGCACAATGGAGACAGTGGCAGAAAACCCCAACGTCCTGGATGTGCAATGCTCAGTGCATTTTTGCAGAACGCAAGAAGGTTTGTGGTAAGATGCTCAAGTAAGCAGTCGACCCCTTTTGATCATTGGTCAACAGCTTTGTGCCTATTTGACTATTTGTGCTTCAGCACTTGGGGGGGGCAGAGGTAGAACAGGCAGAATCAGGCAGAACATGCCTTTTTTCCTTCGAAGAACGATCTCAACAGGCCTCAGGCCGCTGCGGCTGCGGCCATCTCTGCCGCCTCCGAAACTGAGGTCTCAGAGATTGAGAATCTGCTGACGAGCTTTGTGGATACAAACAAAAAGCTGGATGTCATCCAGAAAGGCAGTTTTGCATCTCCTCACTTCTCATTCAGCTGATACTTTGAAGATGATGTGACAGTTTCACTAGTTTCGTCACTGGTCTTGTTCTTGATCCCTGATAACTTTGTGCCACGAGTTTGAGTTCAGCCACATTTGAGCTGTTTGGACAGGTCTAAACCAATACTTGGAGTCAAAGCGATTGGACTTCCCACGCTTCTTCTTCCTCTCCAACGACCGGGGTTTGACTCTGCGTTGTTCGTTCGTGGCAGTCCGTGCGTTGTATTTGTAGAATCCTCAAGTCGTTGTTGTTTTTGCGCATGCGTCTGCAGAGTGCTTTTTTGGCCAAAGACTTCGAAGATCCAAGCAACGAGGGGCGTTTGGAGGGGCCTTTGGAGGGGCGTCCAGGCGTTCATTATTTGATAGATACACCTTGGCGAAGTCGGCATGCAGGATGAGCTGCTGATGATTCTGTCACAAACAAAGGACCCCACAGCGGCGGATTCCTGAGCAAACACAGTCAATCAGTCAGTCAACTCCGGTCGTGGGTCGTGGGTGATTTGACCGTCCAACGATTGCGACCACGCCAAAGTGCACCATGGACCGTCACCATTGACTCCTATTTGCTTGGACCTTGTAGACCCTGGGACCCTCCCATTTGTGGGCGGAGGGCAGTTCACTGCCAGGGTCGAACGCCAGGGGTGACCCTGGCAGCTTTCGCCGCCAGCTGATCCGTCGCTTCGCCCAGGTGCAGCCACACATGGGGAAGTGCTTCGAAGGCTGGGACTCAACTTGGGATTACAGTGGTTTCAGAGGTTCGATGGCACAACCCCGAAGGTGTCCTTTAGATTCTTTTAGATGGGGTTCCATATTTAAAGCGCCTCTTGGTGTCTACTGTTGCATTCATGAAAAAAAGAGCAGGACGAACCTCCGTGGGCACCATTTCTGCTAGCTGTTTGTTGTTGTTGTTGTTTTCTTTTTTTTTTGGCAACTTGAAGTGTTTGCATTAGCTTTGCCATAGTGCCATCTTTGGGAGGAATCAGCAGGGTCCGCTTCAACAAGACGAATGAGATCATTGAAGCAATGGCGCACTGAGCTTAGATAAAAGGGTTTATCGTCTCACAAGCTTGATGTGATCCCATCCACACATCTCCACCCAGCTGAAGGTCCGTGGAGGGGGAAGTTGTTGAGTTGGACCTGCCAGTGAATGTGGTGGAAGGGGAGAAGTTAAGACCTCAGATATTGTACTGATAGAAGAGTGCAGAATAACAACGGCTCTTCGTGTTCTTGCAAAATCCTCACTTGCTCTCAAAGACACTTCCTTGTGCACCTTTCTGCAGGAAGGGGAACGTTGAAAAGTGGTTGATGGAAGTTCAGGGTCTGCGTGACATGTTTGCCGCACCGAACGATGCCGCATGGTTTAAATTGCTGCTCTCTCTCTCTCTCTCTCTGGGAGTCGTGCGGACCAAAAAACGAAGGAGGACCTCGGCCGACAAACGGCGGCGCCAGGCTCGATGATCGATTCATTGACCAAAGTCACCGCTTCGTCCTTGCTGGCCTATGCGAAGAACGAGCGCAGCGACCTCGGTGGACCCTCGGCTGTCGAAGGTGTCGGAACAAGAGGCGCAAGAGGTGTCGCAACCCAGACGTGGCCAGAGTCTTCTTGCTGCCGTCGGAAGCTGGCTTGGCTCGAGCCAAGTGGTCCAAACAAGAAGTGTAGAGAGCCCTGGGGCTATGAAGCTGGCCCGTTGTAGGGCTGTAGTCAACATAGAGCACCAAGATATCGGTAGTGACTGAGGTGTCATCTCAAGGAGGAACCCCAAACGAACTCTGCAATTTTGCGCCTTCCACAGAGGTGAACTCCGGCGTGTTCTATAATACAACCTATAGACCACGGGTGTTCTATAGGGTCCTGTCTTGTTTTTGGACCGAAGAACATTACTTTTTTCAGCTTGAACACCTTTCCGGGGGAATTGTACCCTGGTTTTTAGGTGGCCTGAGACCAACCAGCAAAGTGATGTTCAAGTGCCGCCTAAGCAGTGAACACACAGCGTCCGCACTTTATGGTGCCTTTTTCATGGCGACGGAAGCATCGGACGTGGACGACCTGGTGGATGTCTGCATCATAGGCGGTGCCACCACGCGGCCACCACGCGAAGAGACGAAGTGAATACTGCAGGATCCACGACTTAGATAGCCATCTCTTGCCATCTCTTGCCTGTAGTTTTTATGTGGTTAAAGCCTCGCGCATGCTATAGTACACTCCCCCTATATGTACGGCTTTGCTTCGAAACGGCATTGCTTTGGTGTGCGTTTCCTTGTGACTCGACCGCAAGGTGTGTCGGTGTCTCATTCGTCTCCTCGGAACCGGTCGAAAGCGCCCCGTTCTGAAGAAGTGTAGCCACAGCTCACCTGCCTGAGATGGAAGCTAAAGGCCATTCTCATTTAGCTTTTTGAGTCCTGATCGAGAGCTCTTTCAGGCATCCAGTCGTTGTTCAATGACCATCCCATGGCTTGAAACGCAAACGCCCAACTTTCACTGAACCCGCTCCCCCACCGAACCGGCGCTCTTTTTCGTGCCGTGAGGCGCCGGCCTGGCGGCTCTGACGGCAGCGGAACGTCTGAGATCCGCCGGTCTTCGATGCACGTTGCTCGAAGGTGCCAGTGCACCTGGAGGACGGGAGAAGCGATTTCGCAACATACGCCGACGGACGGAACGACGGAACGGACAGATGTGTGACGGTGTGACGGAATGGATGGATGCAGGGTGTTTTGCTTTTTTGCTTGTTTCGCTCCACTTGAGTCGTAAAGTGCCTGAAGCATAGTTAAACCGTGGTCAATGACGGCCTCCCTTTTTTTGGGGTGTGTGGGTGGGTCATCTCCAACACACAACTGAACACATCAAAGACTTGGTGCTGAAGCTGTTAATTGACCACCGAGCCCGCTCTCTGCCAGCCGAAATTGGTTCTCAAGAATCTGCGAGCTTTGCTTGACGTGACTTGGAGGACGATTGCGTGGACGTGACTTTTGTGGTCGCTGGGTGGAGGAAGGCAGGATTCGTTCTTTTTCTTGCAGACTTGTAGACTTGATGAAGACATTTATCAGACATTGCGTGGGGTCAAGACGTCAAGAACCTCCATGACAGATTCCGAAAACTGTATGTGAACATGAACTATTTGGGCAACTTTATTCTTTCAATTTGTAGATGAATGAACATGGGCATTTTTGACAGTGCCTGTAGCTCCTGTGCCAGGAGCCAACTGGGTGCAAGGCTTGGGCCAGAATCCCATTTGGAGGAGAGTTCAGGAGCTCCTCGGAAGCAGAAAGAGAAGGAATGAAGAAGGAAGGAAGAGAAGGTAAAGGAAAATAATGGAAGGACGGATAGGTCGGTTGTGTGCCTATACAGAAGCAGTTTCGTTGGACTTGCGAAGGTGTATGACTGATGTGTATTGTCTCATTCTCTCACAAAGCACACTGCTACTCCGTTCGGGGGGTGTTTCACGTCCGTTCTGCGCAGCGACGGAACTGCAAGGCGTGGGTTGCAAGGGCGCTTAGAAGAAGATGATGCAGAGGTGGAAGGGAGGATGCAACTTCGTAGCTTGGGAGCGGCTGGACCGGAAGCGACTTGGCGACCACTGGCTGGAGTAGGTGTGCTTTGGGGCTAATAGTATTTTTCTTATGCCAAGAATTGCACGAATCCTTACTAGCTGAGAAGTTTCTGCTAGGGAGGTTTCAAGTTTCAACACTTCTTCACAGCAGGCATTGGTATGGTTGATATGAATGTTCAAAATAAGAATCCAGCAACTGGCGCTTCTTTGTGCCCGTGCAAGGATCTGACCAAAGAAGCTTTGAAGCGCTTCAAGGTACGATACACAATGTGCATTTTGTGATTTCGCATGAGTCTTGAATGGACATTAGGGCCAGCTAGCGAAGAAGAAACACATTGCGACCAAAGTTGTGACCAAAGTGGTCCGGGCTTTCGAAGTTGACTGGGCCTCGTTCAGGCTTTTGAGGAAGCCATGGATCGTGCGGACTCCTCAGGAACGGACGACACGGTGTAGACAGATCCAAAGAACCACGGACGGGTCTCTTTCTGCTGTTCCTAATGAACTAGCTTCATCAGGACAAGTCAACTGCGGAGTATGTTGGACCCAAAGATCCTAAAGACAGCTTGACATAGAAACGGAACATTCCGCGAAAATCTCCAGTGTCTTCCTTCAAGAGAACTCTTGCACATCCAGAGTAGCAGCACGAATCTTCCACTTTTTTTCTCTACCTCGCAAGCCTTGGAGGTAGAGGAGGGTGACAGTGATGGAGAAGACCTGGATTTGGCTCATGCACTGGCAGAAGGAGGTGCAACACTCATGGCTTGGGCTCAAACGGCTTTCACCGAGAATCAGTGGAACATCCAGAGCCTTTGAGTCATTTGCTTTTGGTTTCCTCCAAAAAGTGGACACATCTCGTTGAGTTCTTTTTTTGCCGACAGCCACCTGGGCACATCCAGAGGTTTTGGTGATTTCTTAAACTCTTTTGGTGCTCTCACTCAGCCTGCTGGTTTTCTTGCGTTTCGCCTCCGCCTGGCCTCGCGTTTTGGTTATCCGGAGGAAGGTTCCTCGCGTGAGGGCTCACGCGCCACGCGAGGCTGGACTCCGAAAGATGCCATGGACCTGGCGGTGGAGTACGTCGAGGTGGACTTCGAATATGGGGAGAGCCAGGGAGCTCAGGAGCGGAGAGGCTTCCCTTGCGGGTGAGCCAGGTCCTGATTTTGGGGGTCGTGGGTTGCTCATCTCTTCCAGTTCGGTGCTCCACCAGTTCGTTTGGGTCCCAAACCCAGCGGGGTGGATCTTTTTACACCATTTTTTGGGCCGGATATTGGGCAAAGTTCGAGAAGGGACTCTTCTGGTGAAAAGAGGCTCCAAGACGATCTCCGTGAAGCACAACGTCCATGGCGAGTACACTTGGGAGGACTTCAGCTGGATTCTAAGACCTGGCTGAGCCAGACTCTGCAAGTTCTTTTTTTCAGAACAGGATGTCAGTGGGCTGGGTTCTCAGCAGTGTGGAAATGGTTTTTGTTTCCCGTTTCCCACAAGATTTCCTGCACGTATGTATATATAATACTTGTTAAATCTTGTTTCCTTCCTTTCCATCAAGAATGTAAAAAAGCTGAATGTGAAGGGTGCAGCCAGTGATCTAGAAATGATAGTAGACCTTCTCGGATCAACGAATTACATGACCACACTAGAAACACCACGGCCGAAGATGACACCCTCTCAGGCCCAGACTCCTTCTTTGTCGACGACCCCAAGGGCTTGTCCTCGATTTGCTCTGTGCCCACAGGCTGTTTGGGTGAAATCTATATTAGCGGAGAATGCAATGGTAGATCTTGCCATGCATAACCGGTGTGCCTCCGGCCCCAATGTTCCATCAAAGATGATCAGACGTCGACCCCTTGAGATGTTCATACACCCAGGTTCGCCGACACGTAGACGGGGTGCTTCACGAGCTCATGAGCTTGACAAAAAATGATCCGGAACCATTTTTTTTGCATGCAGACTCTGGATGATATTTCCATTTTCACCCTCCCATATATGAAGAGGTTTTAACCATCCCAAACGAGCGGTTCTATTCGTAGCGTTTTGTCGGAGCTCGATGTTTGACACCGATGGCATCCTTGAAACCCGCAGCCGTTTCCGTCGCCGTTGGCTCGTTGGAAGGGTTTGAACAGCGGGCAGAGGGACACCGGGACTTAGAGCTTTCATTGGCGAAAGCACCTCGCAGCATTTTTTTCCCTGCAATGTGTGGAATGGACCACAACCGGAACAGACTATGTTGCCCTTACGCGCGGCACCAAGCCGTGCCACTTTGCACAGCCTGGGGAAGCTCCGAGCCATCGCTTCCATCGGCGGGAGAAGCTGCTCAGCGTGGCGCTCATCTTCTGTTCGAGCTTCCAGTCGCTGGGGAAGCTCTTGGAGCGAGGAGGTCCGAGCTTGCAAGAGGTTGACGGAAGCGGTGCGTTTTCCAGGCGGGACGATAGATGTTGTTCGGAAGGGATGGAAGTGTTCCATCGGTTCGTGTGGTGGGAAGCGCATACCTTTCTCAGATGGCACGGTGGGAACTAAACAAAGAGCACTGCAAAAAAAAAAGCCGGGAACTAGGTCAAGGAAAGGAGGCTATCAGAAGGTTTTGGGGCAAATGGCCCTTTTGTTGGCAAAGGGCTTCCAGGTTTTCTTGGTTGTTTAGGCGGAAAAGACCAAGCTGGAGAGGCACTGCAAAGCTTACGACAACTATGGCTATGCCATGAAGCCGGCAGCCGACCTGCACGTTTTGCAGTGTCTCCAGCAGTAGTGAATGCTGCATGTCGCCTGGTCACATTCATTGTAACCCTTTACCTTTTGAACAGCTTTTGATAACCTCCTTTACTTCCAAAGGGTGAGTTGGCTTGGCTTTTATGTCAAATGACTTATGTGCAGGCACAGCTATAGACTGGGGACTGGTCGGTGGGGAAGAAGCACATGATATCCTGCAATGGCTGGCGAAAGAAGTTGCCTCCAGACTTGGCAATTTCAGTCCAGGGACTGGTGTGGCAGGCACAGCTTATGTGCATGTCATCCATCGGGAGCCTTCAGGAAAGCTGTTGCCTTTGCTCGAAGAGCATCTCACTCTGCTGACGTCTCGGAAGTCCTTGACTCCCCGTGCCATCGCGAACTTCATCAACCTACTCTATGGCAGTTCTAGTGAACATCAGCCCAGCCAGACGTTGTCGCACTTGCGCTTAGAAGCTGCTGGGACCTTGAGCTCCTTTGCAGCCACCGAGCTGTTGGATGTCGCTTCAGGCCTGGCCAAGTGCCAGCAGCTGGACTGCAATTTCTTGCAGGACCTCCGCCGAGCGGTGGATTCCATGCCCTTCGAACCGCCCCCGTCGCCCGAGCACCCTTGGGACGTGGCTGACCCTTCGAAGACGTGGCGGTGCCCGCAGCCGCCGAGGCTTCTGGCCGACTTCCCGGACGCGCTGGTCCTGTCGAAGCCCGCCGGCTGGTCCTGCGCGACGGGTCGCGCCTCGCGGGCGACGGGCGGAGACGGCCGAGGCGGTCCCGCGCCCGCGCGGGTGGCGGAGGTCCTGGCCGCTTCCTTTCCGGAGCTTTCGCCGTTTCAAGACGCCGCGGCCGATCACGGCATGGCACACCGCTTGGATCTGGAGACCAGCGGTGCGTTGCTGCTGGGGAAGAGCTTACGAAGCTTCTGGAGGCTGCGGCTGGAGTTCGTGGCGCAGAAGGTGAAGCGGCAATATCTCACGCTGGTGCAAGGTCGGGAGGTACTTCTCGAACAACAATCAGTTTTGCTCTCTCTCTCTCTCTCTTTCTTTTTTCTGGACGAGGAGATCCCACTGAATGGATTGTCATCCACCCTCATCCACCCTCTCCTAAGGGGCCTTATATAAGGGGTGTTGGGGTGAATTCGGGACGGCGGACGCACACCGAACGGCGTGGCCCGGCTCGGCACGGCCCGCGGACACTTCCGCGTGCTTCAAGAGAAGTTGAAGTGACCTTCTAGGACCACATGGGGTACCCAACTGGGATAGTCTATAGTATGTCTGGGTTCTTCAACCTCCGTTGGATGGTTTCCAATTGCTTCGTTACCTGTCGAATCTTCCCGTTCGAAAGTGACAGGTCGCCTTGGGCCTCTGGGAGTTGCGCAGCAGGTCCAGGAACCTCTGCGCCTGCAGCGCTTGCGTCGGTCCAATCCAACGCGCTCGGTCCAATCCAAATCGCTGGTCTGCGAGACTGGAAGGCCGCTCGGCGGGGGTGGGGAAGCCCAAAACGAAGCCCCAAGCGAAGCAACCCTATTGTTGTTCTGACGGTGAACATAGGCCGTGCTGGGCGAAGTGGTTTTCCGACGTGTCAAAAAGTCACCCAGAGGTTAAGTGGACCCGGTCACCTGGGTACCCAACTGGGATAGTCGAACGATCGGGTTCTTCAACCTCTGTTGGACAGGTTTGCTATGTTCCATCCACCTTTTATTCACGGCAAGTTGCGACCATCCAGGTTTCCACACATGACTTCATGCCCTGCCAGACACGCATTCATCCGGTCTGATGGGTGTCATCCGGTCTGATGCATAAGCCTGTGCAGATCCTCTCAGATGCATCCCGCTCAGGCCAGCACGAACTCGCTTTGTGCCCCTGGCGCACGTGAAGTCGCGGGAGGGAGGAGACTCGGTTTGGGTGCTGCGAAATGAGACAATGACACAAGGCAGATCAATCCAAGCAACCTGTTGGGTTTTGGGTGTAAGACTCTGTGGGTTGTTTGGGCATTCCACAGATGTTCTTCCAAGTGTAAATTCTCTTGGAGTTCAATCGAGTGATTGTATGCCATGTCGAGGAGATATGACTCTCCTCTCTGCTGAGCCTTTGACAGGGAGGACTCACCAAATCCGTAGTCACTTGGCCTACCTGGGCCATCCTCTTGTGACTTAGATCACACTTGGACGGTTCTGCATCGGATTTGGTGCCGGGGAGGTTTTTTACGACCCATGATTCTGGAAGGATATAGGGATCCATGTAAGCTCCATGCCAG